TTAAGTTTCAGACGTCTTTAAATGAATAAAGAAAAATACATTTTTGTCTACTTTATGAGGTATTTCTTGCCTGTAAAAACGTTCTTATTACTCTCTTATATTTTAAAATATCACTGACATAGTACAAGTTTAATTTATGAAATTATTGACCGTTAAGCTAAATTTAGTAAAAAAAATAAATTTTATGGAAACCCGTTCATAAATCAATTAATTATCATTAAGTGTTCTGAAAAGATGATATACTTCTATAATTTCTTTATTGGGGTGATTTCTGCACCTTCATTATTCAGGGAATGTGTTATTAGTTAATTACCAAATAAGTAATTTTGTATCTGTACTATAGTGTTATACGAAAAACTAATGATAGTATAACTTAGCAACTATGTGTATGATAGGCCTAAATAATATATTAATCCCAATTATTTTTCCTTTTTTGGCATTTATTTTTTAATGTTTTCTTGCTATAACGACTGGGCTGTAGTGTAATACTTTCTATATATTTTAGACACTGGGAAACATCACTCCAAAACCTCTATTTCTATGTTTAGGAATCCAATGAATATTTCCTAAATCTTTCTTAAGAGAATTATTTCTCGATTTACTAAATAGGAGGAGAAAGACAAAACCGTCAATAAAATTCAGGCCTAAATGTCAACCTATAAGAGAATCCCTTTAGCAGATTTCATGACTCTTAATTTAAGATAAAGTTTCAACTCCCGAATTGTTCATGGGTTTTACACCATCGTCCTATTTCACCGAGTGTATTTGATTATCAACAATTTGTTGAATGCAACTTAGACAGTTATAACACGTCGACGGTATATTTCGATACAAACCGTGTCCTATCTGGGGTAATGGTATATTCGATTTGCTATGGCGAGATGAGGTAGGCGGTAAGGGTGTTAGAGCAGCACTGATCACAGTCTTGTAGAACGAAAAACCCTCAAATAATCCCTCTTGTTTCGAAATCTCAGTCGTTCGCGCCAAGTGGCAGATTTCATTTTCACGACTTCTATTGTTCACGCTCTCAATGTCATTGTGCTTACAAAAACAATAAGGGCTATTTTAGTAGCGGTTTTTTAAGTATGTAGATCATTCATTTGACCACTAATAGCCCAACAATGTATTGAGCCCAATCTTGATAATAGTACTGTTTATAAAATGTGACACTTCAACGTTGTTCCATGCTAAAATAAAATCAATGATTTTAGCTCCTGAGTTGTAATGCATCTGAAAGGTAGGCTTAACCTTCGTCAATCAGCTCAAAAGTTGTAATTGTTGTTACGTCCGTTTCTACATCACAATGCCATCGCCAGACACATGCAGACATTGGCTGAAGCAGCATAACACGCACGAATATTTACATCCAGTCTGTGTCTTACTCGGATCATGACAATGTCAACCTGTTAATTGTTTAAATGTTGTAAATAGTTACAACTTGAGCTGATTGACGAAGGTAAAGCCTGCATTTTAGCTTGTTGATTTGTTGGAAAGAGAAAAAAAGCTAATGACTCAAAATTAGAGATCGGCTGACAGTTTGCATTGCTCTTGAATAAATTACGTTTTTGTTTTCAGTTTTATACGATACAAATAAAAGAGTTATAAATAAAGGAAAGCTATTTTGAAACTGAAGCGATGTATAACTGATACTTAAGGTATTATGAATGAGTAACACTGAATGAGGAATCAGTGAATGACACTGAGGTTGATCCTTAATCATCGTATTCACTTACTTTAATAAACCTACGAGTAAGTTGGTTAGGTGCTATTTTGACACACACTTTAATTTTATTGATTTATGTTGGTAAAAGCCTGTTAAAAAGAATTTGACACAACATCACTTTCAAAGGGCGTACAAACCTTTCACAGACGTTTGCAGTGTTAAGTCACTTATAAAATCTTGAACTGTTCCTAAATGGAAATGTATACCAAATACAGTTTAAATTTTAATTTTAACAACGTTAACTAATTATTTGTTAATATTTCCTTTTCAAATGCTACTTTTTGCCGACAACAAGAGGATACCTGGTTGAAGCAAACCGGTTCCTTGACTATTTATGATGGTCAATATTGGGGTTATAGAATACGGCGGGCATATAGAATACGGCGGGGCTATAAATACATCGGGGCTATAGAATACATCGGGGATATAGAATACATCGGCCGGCTATAGAATACATCGGGGCTATAGAATACATCGGGGATATAGAATACATCGGCCGGCTATAGAATACATCGGGGCTATAGAATACATCGGGGATATAGAATACATCGGGGTTATAGAATACATCGGGATATAGATCACTTACATTCTTTATTGGGACAAGCTTCTAGAGCTGTTTGATATAACAATGTACACTAGTGTACATGTTGCTCGAATTCGAGCAATTGCAGAGTATTACAGCAATTCAAAACGAATAACAGTCATATTAACAATGAGTTTAAAAGAGTCAACTCAAAGATTACCGGTCGGTGTGTAATTTAGACCGTGTTTATCTTCGTTATTGATAAACCTAAAGCATCCCGGCCGCGTTTCTCCTTCTCAAAATGTCTCGCTGTACATGCAACACAGGTCATTGATAGAGGGCCAATTGAGAACGAAAAGTTGTTTTGGGGTAGTGTTAGGGCGCATTTGTAACCTAATAGTTGAGGTTGCCCAGGGTCAGGTGCTGACTGTGACTGTGGTTACGCGCCACTGTTCTGTAGCTGAGGTTGTTATCACGATTACGCCTCCTGACTATGTTTCGTTGTCATCGCGTCGGAGGCATTTTAAAGAAAAAAAAAACAACAAAAAACATATTATAGCCACACAAAACAACGATAAATACACAAATTTAAGATACAACCATACTAACACGATCCGTCTTGGGGGTTATGTTTACACAAACTCAAATAGTAAATAAATGTACTCAATGCGTTTCATTGAATTGAAAAATAAATAACAGCAATTAAACTATACAGCTGATCAAAATGTAAACAATTATGTTCTTCATAAGGATAACATGGGAACTTTCAAAGCCACTGGGGGCAGAGCCCAAGGGACTTTTTCGAAAATGTAAGGCTAGTTTGCAAATCTACGCGACACGCTCTTTCCAATGAGACGTCAATGGATAAAATCGGTTAAGAAATGGCGGAGGAGTTCAACCGACAAAGTTTCATGTGGCGTATTAATTGTATAGATAGATTTTTCCGTCACATCTCTGACTCTTCCTTGTAGTGTGTGACCCGGGTTTCGGCTTCTTAAAGCCATCACGCCAGTGGCTAAAAATTACTCAGACAATTTACACAGAAAGAACTCCAAACAAAGCATTGAAACACGGCGCACCACATGTCTTAACACCAGTTAACACTGGCAATACCGACCAACGGGAATGTTTCGCAACACTTCGACGAGTCAACCAAAGCCTAAGTGATAAATGTGGCGACGGATTTTGTATGTACACCCAATTGAAACGTAATTTGTATCTACGTTCCTCACTATACATTAAGCTAGGCTAAATAAGGTATGCAAGACATAAATAAATATTTAATGGAAAACCCTTTTATTTATATTGACCAGCTATAATAGCTTATTAACAATATACAAGTGTTCCAAAATAAATAATTCAAATAATAAAAAATAATCAAATACTGTCAGATTATTGAAGTTGAGTATGATGACGTGACTCTGTCAACAAGATGCATCGGCAAGCAACTCTAGTTTGAGCGTGAATCAATAATTAATTTGCCAAGTCGTCATCAAGTTTGGGAGGTAAATGCCTCATTAGTAGTGGCTCGAACTTGTGTAACTCGTGGGTCTAAATCGAAATTAGCACAAGCCACAGTGTTGCAGGATTTCCCGCAAACACTTCGATATATTGTTCCGGATAACGAGTTTTGCCACAATAACCTCTAAGACACATATAATGTTTACAAATTATATGTCTTATGAAAAACTCTGCAGTAAGTTAGGTGAAATTTGAAAAAATACAATCTAAACACACATGATAAATGTATGAATATTTTTGTTACACATCCGTTGTTGGTATGTAGTTTTGTAACGGTAAATGTTTTTGACATTCAGATTGCAATAATAATTTAAATAATTTATTTTAGACTGAAGAATATTCCTTTCAGAAATGAACAGTTGAAATTATGTACCAATTGTTATTTTAAGCTTATCGATACGATATATTCGTTAGTTACATTTACACTATTAATAAACTCGTTTTTGTTATAAGAAGGAAAACAAGGTGGTAAGAGCTTGTCCCAGAGGCCTGGAACCAAATCCACCAGGGGTTCGGAACCCACATTAGCTGTCCGGACAACTACCAGTAGATTCCCTCCAAAACAGCGATTCAATAATTTTCTATACCAGAAAGTGGCGTCAATTATGATTAGTAAGTAGTTAAATTTATTGTTTAAACACTTAACTGCACATATGGAGGTATACTCACACTTTATACTTTAATAAAGCGAGCTGTGTTGCTACCAACACAACATACTTAGGTGGTTTTAGACGGCTCCATTTAACATGTATAAAGTGAACTCTCTTTTCCTATGAGGGTAACACTTTATAGGACCTTTTGGTTGTTTCTATTTAATTTGTTAAGAAAAAAATAACTTTTCTTCTTTTTGTCCACACCAGTAGAATTTTTAGAGGATGTATTGTAGAAAGAAATAGAATATTTAATCGCTTTTAGGGAAAGCGTAGATTTGGTCTCTCTCGCACCGAAGTTAGAGGCGTTATCACTAGACTAGTAAGAAACCCAGCTTTTTCCACTAAACAAGTTGAGGACTACCAACATTTTGAATGCAATAATAGTATGTGAGCACCGCTGATTTTTAATGCTCTAGAGCTCAAAATAATGTACTTGTAACAAATGTAAAACAACCCACTACCACATTCCCTGTAAATTGACCAACAAACCGAGGCAAAACATGTAAACATCTCTTTTGACAATATTTTTGTAATTCAGATGCGGCGCTTTTGGACCACGTAAAGTGATTTGTTTACTCACTCTTTTCCCATCTCCCTCAGGAATTTGCTGGTCTTGATGGTGGGGACGCTGCACCACACAGAATCCTGAAAACAACATTTATAGTGTATTTTTTCTATATTATCCACAATACAAATCCGTTAAATGGTTGTATATTTCTATTCTGACTATAAACAATTTTTAATGGTACAAATATTCATAACAACCTTCATGTGAATATTGCACTTAATTTGTTTTTAAAATAAGCATTTTTTCTCTCAAAACAATCTCGATGTTTACAAAAGCTGGTTATAAGGTAAGGATTGATTAAAAGTGGCGTTTATTGTTGTTTAGATAAGTTTAGTTACTGGTTAAAAGCATAAAAGATGTTGTTTTAAATTAAATATCCACAACACGAAGCAAAGAATTTTCCGTACTTAACCAATGTTGATGCCAAGCAGGAAACTCAATAACGTAAAAAAATCAAATAAAATTTGTTAACGTATACCTGTATAAGGACAAAAACACAATATATATATATATTTGGCAATTTTACTGTCATAAACTGTATTTTATAATTCATAAGACGTGTTAAAAGTAGGAAAATATGTGAGTAAATTTGAAGATGTTTTATATTTTTTGGTTTTGGGGTCAAATGTAGGGTCGCCGGAAGACTGCCCCCCGGAAAACTACCCCCCCCAAGCAGGTTCCTACGTCATATTGACGTCAGAGACCGTGGGGGCAGTTTTCCAGTCACGGACACTCAAATTTAGTTGTCAAACAGTTCTAATCTAACCTAACCTAACCAACCAAACTTGCTGTAACATTTCGAAAATCGAACATGTTTTATATTCACCACATGCATTTTCTATTATCCAACGGAATTACTCGAATTAAAATTAAAATTACATAGCATGATTTGTCTAGTGGGTGTAGTATTCCAGTCGCGGACACGGCTTCCATATTGGTTAGTTAGCAGATTTTGTGACGTCACGTTTCACCTCGGGGGTAGTTTTCCGGGGGATAGTATTCCGCATCCCCCAAATGTACTTTTAATAATTTGTCTCACCTTTCAAACGCAAAATAAATAGTATATGCATCCCATTTTACGATGCTTTATAGTTTTCCTTGAAAGTTGCGTTCATCTGTAAGATGTAAAATTATCACAATTATTTCTTCAAATAATAATAAATCAATAATTTGTCACAGTTAGTTTTGCAAATTCGTTTTGGAATAACTGATAGATTTTATAACCAGTATTTTAAGTACAGCTATGTGGTATCTCTCCATGTAATATTGACATTATATACGAGTTGTGATACAAAAACTAACTTAAAGCAAAACCAATTCTCTGATTGAAGAGGTTATTTGACAGTAAACTGATATCGTCTCCGGACAGTGGAGGATTTTTTTTATTTGATTCACATTTATTTATAATAATGATTATACGATGCAACTTTACTTGAGCTAAAAAAGACAGTTTACATTTTGCTGAAATCTAACATAATGTAATTAGTTTGTTGATAGTTCACTTTCAGACATGTATGTGTAGTTGGTTCAACATCAATATAAACTTAAATCTTCTAATTTCTTCGATTAGTTGACCATTTACAACCATTTATACACAACTTTAACGGAAATGTTTAGAAGTCAATATAAACAAATTCTTAGGTTGAGTTTATTTTGAACCTTAAAAGAGCTAATCTAGGTGGTTAGAGTTCCTATTTGATGTCAAATATGTTTACTGTTTAGGTAGCCGCCTCAACAACAAAATATTCCGCACTTTTTGTCAACACAGTTCCGTACCATACATACGCCAAACCTTTTGCCAAGGGATCATAAGATTATTATGTAGAACATTTGTGTACCTAAAGAAATACCACGATACAAATTTTGTCATATGGGCTACAATTTTACTGTCATAGACATAAGACAAGCTTAACTGCATGGGAAAAATGAGTAATGATGCCTTTATTAAAACAATATTTTTTTTTTTTTTTAGGGTGAGGAGGGAAAATGCTTTTACGCACACAGGTAGCCAGCCTGTAGTGTGAGACTCCTGAGTTTATCACAGACTACTCACTAAAAAACCCCCTCTACTCTGTTGGACACAGACCTGGAATTGTTTGTCACATTACTTCAAGTCAGGCCAACATGTGACCTAAGCCCACAGGGCTCGCACCGTTTCTGGCATTATTTATTTTTTGACCTACACCGCATCCCGGTCGAGGTCAAGCTTCTTGGCGCGGAGAACACCCTGGATGTAAAGTGACACACAGGTCCAATTGTCCTCACCCTCCATCATCATCGGTATGACCGTGTCCACCGACAGCAGTCCTACGAACTGTTGAGCCTCTAGGCGGGGCCTTTCCCAATGCTGGCAGTGGAAGAAAGTGTGTTCCACGTCATCGGGAATGCCTGGGCAGTATATGCAATCGGGTGACACGGCTATGCCCATCCTGAACAAGTACGACCGGAAAAAGCCGTGACCCGTCAGAAATTGGGTGAGGTAGAAGTTCACCTCTCCGCACCGCCGATTAACCCAAGGTTGGACCTGTTGTATCAGTCGCCTGGTCCAGAGCCCCCTTGTCTCCTGTTCCCAGCTCTCCTGCCACAGCTGGAAGGTCCGGGTGCGTTCCTCAATACTTGCCTGGTCCTCCCCACGGCGCTGATAAATTGCCTTCCTCTCCGCCGCCAAAAGTTTGACGGGGATGACTCCAGCAACCACCAGGACGGCGGGTTCGGACACAGTTCGATAGGCAGATGCTACCCTTAGTGCTGCCTGACGCTGCACTCGGGCGAGCCGCATCCTATATACCTCCTTATTGAGAGCGTCTGCCCAGACCTCCGCACCGTACAGGAGCACTGACTGGACCGCAGACATCAACAGCCTTCTGCGGCTGGACCGTGGACCTCCGACATTGGCCATTAACCGACTAAGGGAAGAAACCATTTTAGCGGCTTTGTCCGCCGTACGGGTGATCTGGTCTCGCCAGCTGAGCTTGCTGTCCACCATGACCCCAAGGTACTTTGCGGCACGAGTGGTTTGGACTTCAACGTTCCCCACCATCAAAGGCACGATGGTGTCAATCCTCTTTTTAGTCAGAATGACAATCTCAGTTTTGCTCAGAGCGAGCGAGAGACCATGTTCTGCCATCCATGCGTTAATGGTTCGCATGACTCGATTTAGTTTCAGCTGGGCAAGCTCAATGCTACGTGCAGCTATTAAAGCCGCAACGTCATCTGCATACCCAACTAGGACAGTTTCCTCAGGCATCTCGGATCTCAAGAGGCTGTCGTAGGCGACGTTCCAGAGGTCCGGGCCCAGTATGGATCCTTGAGCAGCACCAGAAGTTACATCCATCGTCCTGGAGCCTTCTGTAGTGTCGTAAATGATGAGGCGGTACCGGAGGTAGTCCTCTATCATGCGCATGAGGTATGCCGGGACGTGGAAAGTGTTCTCCAGTGCGTCGAGCATATCGCACCACCTCGCGGAATTAAATGCGTTTCGCACATCAAGTGTTACAAGCAGCACAACCCGACGAGAATAGTTGTTAAACTCCTCAGCTCTCATTACGGCTCGCTTTACCTCCTCAATAGCGTCAACCGTTGACCGTCCCTTCCTGAAACCGTACTGACGAGGGGATAGATTCCCTGCAGCAACCACGGCTGAATTCAGTCGGGAACGGATCAACTTTTCCAAGACTTTCCCAGCAGTGTCCAACATACAGAGAGGTCTGTAAGAGGAGGGTAGGTCTGGGTTTCCTTTTCCCTTCCCCACGAGCACAAGCCTAGCTGTTTTCCAGCAGAAGGGAAACTTCCCCTCGGCCAGACAGGCATTGTACGTGCTCAAAAGGATTTGTGGGTTTATTGAAAAGACTTTCTTCAGGGCCTCACCAGGTACCCCATCCGGTCCAGGAGCCTTGTTGTTCTTCAGGGACAGAACGGCCGCCTCCAACTCCTCGAGACTGAAAAGCGGTACGTCGTCCACCCTTCCGAACTCCCGCAATGGGCGCAGTGTGTGAGTCGGGAAAAGGGACTTTACGATCCTCTCCATAGAGGCCCCGTCCATAACGGAAGGTGGAGAGCGGGTGCCAAGCTTCTTGGTTACTATCTTGTAACCAAGGCCCCACGGATCGGAATCGACATCGTCCCTTAATTTCTCCCAGCAACTGCGTTTGCTCCGGTTAATGGCCCGGCGAAGAGACTTCCTAGCCACCTTGTAAGCGTCAGACTTAAGACGTCTATCTTCAGGTTCTCTGGCCCTGGTAGCAAGACGTCTGGCTCTCAATGCTGCCCGTCGTAGTTCTGCGATCTCGGTTGTCCACCAGTACACAGGTCGCTTATCGCACCGGGATCTCCTGCGAGGCATTGACTCTTCGCAGGCCGAGACTATCAGCCTCATCAATGATGTAACTGATGTCTCTGCGTGAGCCACGCCAGATGCAGCAGGTACCACTGGCTCTCCCCGTAGTATGACTTCGGTGAATTTGGCCACGTCCAGCTTTTTGGTGTTCCACCGAACGGGCACCTGCCGAGACACGGTAGCTTGTCTCTGATGACTATCCATGACATCAAAAATGATGTACTGGTGGTCACTGGCCGTATAATCCTCTAGGACTCTCCAGGCTCGTATCCTCGGCAAGAGGGACTCAGATGCAAGCGTGATGTCTGGGATCGTTCCCCTCATTCCGGGACGCTGGAAAGTTGGCGTGTTGCCCTCGTTTATGACAACAAGTCCAGCCCTGGCAGCAAAGTCCAGGATGTACTTCCCCCGGGAATTAGTGAGAGTCATTCCCCACTCGATAGCCCTAGCATTGAAATCCCCCGCCACGACAACGTGCCCGGCGGTATCGCGCACGCTCTCTTCCAGGCGGTCTATCTTTCCACGAAAGTCACGGATAGCCTCGTTGGGGGTGAGGTATACACTAAAGTAAGTGACATCCCCGCACCGGACCCAAACGAATCCTCGGCCCTTCGCGTGACTCCTTACCTGCACTTTAGCTGTATTACGAACCCAGAACGCAGCAGTACCAAGTGTATCGGGAAACCAAAGAGATGGGTCCCTGTCCCGGTACTGGTACTGTTCGCTGACCAAGAGCGCGTCAACACCGTGTTCGAGGGCAAGCTGACTGAGAAGCGCGTCAGCCGTCCTGGATCGATCTACATTGCACTGGAGGATCCTTATCTTCGTGGTTGGGCTTTCGCTTGTTGTAGTGCGCCTTTAAATGCACTGCACTGCCCAGACCCAGCTATATGTTTAGCGTTTTTATCATTGAGGCCTTTCTCCTTACAGAGGAAACAGGTCTCAACTTTACAGTCCCTACGAGTGTGACCCACCTCCCCGCATCGAAGGCAGTTCTTGCCTCGGTCGGGCCCTTCGCAGTTTCGGGAGGAATGGCCGAAATCAAGGCATTTAAAACACCTCGTTACTTCCACCCTCCGTCTCAACCTGCAATTAACCCATCCAACCCTCAAATGCTGGAGTGCCAAAACCTTACTGGCGTTTGCGTCTGCCATTTCGGCGACCGCCATCCGCTGTTGACTCCGGTTTGGTTTCGTGAGCCACACCCTCAGACTAGCCGTTTGTCCGGCAAGCTCGGGGACAGCTTTTTTTAGGGCATCAATGACGTCATCCTCCGTTGACACACAATCCATATCCCGAACCTCGACGGACGTCTTGGGTTCGAGAGCACGAACGGTGCCCTGACCTTCCACAGCTGCCTTTAGTTCGGCAGCAAAGGCGGCTTTATCTTTAGACTTACCCAGTTCGAGGAGGACGTCCCCGTCCCGGGTTTGTCTAATCGACCGTACAACCGTGTCGGTTTGCTCTGGCTTAGCCTTGGCCTTGATAACACCCAAGACTTCGGCGAATGATCTTCCCTCCAAAGGCTTGACCAAAATTGCCTCAGTCCTGGGCTTTTTGGGCCGCGACTTTTTAGCGAGTGCCGAGCCAGGCACAGCTTGGGCCACGCCGGTCGACTGCGCCCTCACTGCCACATATGTCTTGGAGCCGACTTCCACGTGCCTCAATTTCCTCTTCTCCTTTTTCGTAAGGCGCTTTTCCCACACAGTCCCAGATGGTGTTTCTACGACTGACCCCTTTCGGGAGCTACCCTCAATGGGTGTCGCAGGTTGCTGTGGCTGTTGAGGTTTCGCTGGAGCGGCAACTACGTCAGAGAAGGACCTAGAAGTCTGGGTCGCCTTGACCTTAACTTTAGGCTTTGCATTAAAACAATAATTACACATAATTCATTTAATAAGGATTTTTAAACTGACCCTGGGGTTACCATCGGTAAGTAAACTCTTTATAACATTTCAAGAGATACAAAATGTTAGTTCTAAATGTGATAATTGTAGGTATATTAGTTTGTCTAAAGTAATAAAGAGGTCGTGAAGTTTAATTTTGATATTCTATGGCAGGCGAACATAGCTGGGAGATATCAAATGGAACAAAGTCGTGTTTCTTAATGAATGTATGTTACGGACGTGAATATATGAGACGTAAGGAGTTAAGGCACATATTTTTCTTTCCCTTATCTTATTCTCTAAGCGTTGGTACTTACTCGGAGGTAGGGTAGACTCCGTGGTGATGTACTGCGTGGTCGTTTCCACCGTCGTGGTTGGCGTAGTGGTTGGCAGAGTGGTCGGAGCAGGTGTGGTTGTGGTAGTCGTAGTGGTTGTCGTGGTTGTCGTGGTAGTTGTAGTGGACGGTGGTGGTGGCCTGGTCGCTATAGTCGCTGCTGTCGTCACGGCTGTAGTCATGGTTGTCGTGGTCGGTGCTGGAGTCGTCGTGGTGGCCCGAGCGGTTGTTTTGGTTGTCAGCAAGTTGACGGTGGTTGCCATCGTGGTCGTGGTTGCCAGCGTTGTCGTTACTGACATACTATACTTTACTTTCTTCATGTGAAATTCTCTTTGTGACTCCACTGAAACAGACAAATAACATGGTTGATTATATAAGTTGTTTAGGTTCTTCAGTGCTGTAATTAGTTAAACACATTTTATTCAACTAACTTCATATAAGGAAGTAAAAAAAGTCCTAGAAGGGCTTATGGTTTAACATAAGATTAATCTAAACGTTACAATAAACTAGCCTAGTGTACAAAATATATTGTTTTCGCTCACTGTGATTTTTAACATAGCTCAGTCAAATATAACAATTGCCATTAGGGTGAAATAATTCCCGGAGAGTTGGAATTTTGTTTAAACGTTCCTTTGATTAATTAGAATGATGAAAATTAAGTCCTGATGAGTGGGGATCGAGCTTGACTAAGGGAAGAGCTCTAAATGTGACTTTTTAGTTTTTCGCTTAGTAATGTTAACTTTACTTTTAAATGCAAATTAAACACGATTTTTAAAATATTGTTATTTTCTTGACCCTTTAGCCATAAACGTTTAAGTCCTACGAAAAAATGCATGGCATCTTTTTGTGAGGAATTTTGTCAGCTTTAACTTTTGTACATGACACTTTTCAATATCACTCACAGATTCCGATGTATAAGCGAAAAACTAAAAAGTCACATATATAGAGCCATTCCCTAGGTCAAGCTCGACTCCCACCAGGACTTTTTATTTACTCTAATTCAATGAACAATAGGAACGTTTAAACAAAGTTTCAACAATTATTTCATAAGATTAGTCTAATATAACTGGGCGAACATACATTATTTAATCCAACGTTACGATTACTGCAAGGAATTTTGGAGAAAAAAACTGTCAGCAAGCAGCTTTTTACCAAAACAAAGAAACATTTATAATAACAGTTTTCAGCTTGTTGTAAAGTCAAATATTGCAATAACGAGGAGAATAGATTTTAAGTTAATTTTTTGTTAAGTTTCAAGCATTAATGATAATCGTAGTTGAAACAAAATTCTTGTGGCTTAAACCTTTTGTAAATCATACATGCATTTCCTAAACTAATAGGCCTAATTTTAAGGATAGCCTGAACATATAAAAAATCTATTTAATTAGGTTTTTATATATTTACGAAATTGTATAATACATTCTGACTTTATGCTAATACGATGAGGAAAATGAAGAGGGTGTAATTTCTAGGACATAAGGATAAGCCTTTTAAGTTCTCATCCGCTTGGTTATTCTCATGGTCCTTTTCTACTAATCGGAGTTTTCTGCGGAAGGGTCATAGTTGCCCCATGAACTAAGAGGTTGTAACAAGAATATCTATTTCGATAACATACTCACAAAAGTTAATATTTAAATCAGATTCGTAGTGATGAAGCTTAAACGAGTTTAACAGCTTCAAAACCTTTTACTGGAAATGGTCGATGACGAATTAACTTCCAATATTCTGGAGTTTCGATAGAATGATTGAATAATCAACAATCTGTTGGATTGGTTACTCAGAGTCACGCCGTAGTAAATGCTCGTTTGCTATATATTAATATTTTAATCTCGTATCTTAAAATAAGTCTATTTGTGCTCACTAAAAATAAAGTTAGTTTATTAAAAATTATGTAAATTGTTCGTGTTATTGAAGTATGGCAAAGGACTTGATTTATGAGTTAGGCCTTTATCTAAAATAAAAATAAATATTTTTGGACTTAGCACAGAACAGAACTCATATTCAAAACCAAAGTAATGTGGGTTTTCAGTTTTCGTATGGTTTTAGTTATAATGTAACTGAAATTTTACATAAACATATATTTACTGAAATAAAATACCTGAAAAATTCTCGAGACGATCCACAATAAGGAAGTCCGTCGACTATTTAAATCGCTTTCATTTATACAGCACTGGGTTTGTAAATAGCACTTTTTTATAACATTATAAGGTCTGAAAATGCTGGAAAGATAAAATACGGTGGTAGAAAAGTGTTCCTACGCGTCGGCACCGGTTAAATAATTAGCAGGGAGTGTAGGCAATTATGTAATTCTGTCGCTTTGAAAGGCCGGCCTAAATATCTTTTAAAGTATTTAGCTTTCCCGTAAAACCCATTTCCATTAAGTCCTCTCTGTAATACTTAGTCCACAGATTTCAATTCTAAATAATGATTTAAAAGCTTTGTGTACACTTTTTGTGAACATTTCCTGAGATGTTTTAAGATATTTTTTTTTTAAACAATAAGATTAGATAGTTTTAGTGCTGGTGCAAATTATTGTGGATCTGTCACTTTATATGACATGCTCTTAAGTAGAAAATAATAAATAACGTCCTTTATTTGTCCTGACACTGATAATATTTCTAGTTTTATGGTTTGTTTCACTATCAAATCTCATAAAAAGTAAATACCTACGGCGTAATATATTACAAACAAAAATATAATAATGTAAGTACATTATTATATAATTTTTAGTAACGTTATTCCAGTTAAATTTAGTAATAGCATTGACTATTGGATACTGAAGTTTTGTATTATTAAGTAAGTATTAAGTATTAAGTAAGTAAGTATTGTATTATTGTATTAATAGTCAAAGGTAGGCTAACAGTTAAAAGGCTGACATAAAAGCAGTGCCTTTTTCAGAGCAATATTTGTTTGTGAAATAGTGAACACACATTAAAAAGATAAGTATTAGAAATATAAAAGTGTTAAAACATGGAGGATTTATTTGACCTTAAAAAGTGATAATAATTTTATATTTTCTGCGACCCACCTTCTAATTACCTCCGTAATATTAACTCCTCTTACCTCACCCCACCTTTCACTGCCCACATACGTTAGACCTTTCTGGCGTTAACTCACTTATAAATAAATTTAATCTCTGCTTCAGGCCTTAAAAATTACCATGTCATACATTTTAACCTCATCATGTAGGAACTAATTACATACACTGAGTAATAAGATCCTTAAATTTAGCACTTTGCCTTAAAACCATCCTTGACATAGAAAATGTTTTTGTCACTATATTATGCTGTTACTTTCAAACAGAAGGTTATTGTATTATGTTTTGAAGTTTATAATGTAGAAGGCAGTTTCTACATCCATTTTTCTTTTAGAAACAATATAGCATTGCCATTCAATTAATATAATAGTAAAAATATTGAGAATGGAATTGTTTTCATTTGAGATAGAATCTAGTTTTTGCTTATTTTTTGCAAGAAATATCCGCATTTAGTTCCACGCAGACAACACTCTTGAAGATTAACCCAGTCATACTAATACATACAACTAACGTCATACAACTAACGAACCAATTGACAAACTAATACCCGAGTTTCTGAATATTCTTAGTTTAGTTTTTTGTCAGATAAATGTAACGGCATAGTAACAAAGTCTTGTAATCTATTCTGTAAACAGTGATAGCATTAGTAGTTCAGTTGTAAACATGATACGTAGTAATTCGATATGGATTTGTAACAATAATTATAATTATCTGGTTGTTTCTGAACCATATAATATCATTACCAGGTAATTTTAAATTTGATTTTCCTTTTACGATTATGCCTTTTTTGTAAATAAACAGTTTATTTTTTTCGTAAATAAGAAATAGTGTTGAGTCTATACAAAAATAAATAAACATACAGAAACAGTTTAAAATGCAGATATAAATATGGGCTTGGTTTTAGTACACCCTGTTATGAGATGATAATTTAAGGGAAGTGTGTAACAGAAACTTTTTATTTTAAACCCCTTAGGATCATTGGATCAGAGTGTTATTCTTTAATTTCATCAGAATGTGTTAGTTTTATGCGTTTCGTGTATGTACGTATTAATTGCCATGAAACTGAACTTTATAAAGATAGCTTAAGGGGTGTTCGAAAAATAAACATTATAAAGATGAACATGCCACATCACACGAGTAAAATACTTAAACATAGGGTTCAATATTTTTTACACATTGAACATACGGATAGTAATTTATGAACAGCATAAAACGTAGTTCAAAAATATTTTCAGAAATTCTAGTGAACTATCTTATTTTCATTTATAAAATTCGTTAAAATCCACCCTCGTATACATTAACATTTCCACTAGTTTAAAGTCCCAATAAAACTTAACGCAAAGAGGGTCACGTTATAAATGGTAATGGAGCTAGTCGAAGGGTGAATTTCCGGTGAGGATGTATTTAGACATTAATGTATTCAGTTGAAAAATCGAAGGTATGGGTTTGTAGAAGCTTGTAATCCTGAATGAGTTACAGCAGGGTCGTGGGACGACGGCGATGACGACGACGCCGTGTGACTGATGTCCTTTGCACCCTTAGAATAAATTATCTGTCCATACTAGACATATGTACTCCTCGACAGTCACGCCTCTAGGATTACAAAACTGTTTATTACGTTATTGTTTGCATCTTACTGATTTTTCTTTTAAATTAAACAACTATTTATGCGTCAGACTGCAGCATAAACAACCGTTTTAAAAACATGCGTTTGCGGGTCTAAAGCAGCTCTTTTTTTCCTTAGGGAGTAGAACGTGTTCGACAGTATATATATATATATAGATTGTTTTATTTAGCTTTAGTTTATTGTTTTCTTCTTTTCAATAGTTTGTCATATCGATAGTATAACTAACACAATCGTAATAGACGATATAATTGAATTACTCAACAGCTGCTTGCTCGCATTAGCGACTTGAAAACAAGCTGGAAGTCGATTTAAGAGGCTATCTTAACATGAAAAATATTTTCGTTTTGTATCTTAGTTCGCTTAAATGAAGGTGCAATATGACGAAAATATAGTTCATCACACAGGAAAAAGTATCTTTTCAACGTTCGCTTCACCTCGACCGTAAAACTTGAACTCGGGTCGAAAAGAGTCACTTTACACTTTGGTGATGAAATGTACCATTTACTTTTAAAAAGCATTTGTAGGAAACTTATAGCTGTATAATAGTTATGTGGTGTTACAGACCCCTAGCGAAGGGTTGAACTTTCCCCTCTCAGTGGATATTTCAATGACAGGATAAAAGGATGGGACTTGCTCGACATAGACAGGTACAGTACGCGTATTCCCTAGGGCGTGAAGAACTACCCGTAAATAGTGTTTCATGTTTATCTTTTAGTGAAGGTTAATATGTAGATAAAACACCAACACCTGTTTTTGTATTCTTGGACATATTTTACCATGCGACATAAATATATCACTGAAGACGTCGTATTACGAAAAGACCCCCACCGCAGTAAACCTGCAGACTTAGCGAATTTCCATTTGCCTGATTGGATTTACACTAAAATATCTCCTTAAAAATATCACATTTACTCCCTATTTAAATAGAATTAGTTTAACGAGTACTTAGGTTTGCTGCAACAGGGAGGGTCAAAAAGTTGATATAAAATGTTAATACTGTAGTTTTGTAAGAAATAAATGTATTTTCCAAATTTGATCAAAATACGTTCATAAAGAAGCAAACTACAACAGTTAACTTATTCTCCTTAAAAATAACGTGGGAATTTTAAATTTAATTTTTTTTTGAATTTTCTCCATAACCAGCATAATAGCGCTTCCAAATACTAAATTATATGTTTTAAGGCTTGTAGGGTCAAAAATGGGAAAAACTTATTTTTACCCCATAAACCCCCGTTCCGATGGTTCGATAATGCTGGTTCGCAAACTCGTTCGAATAATTGTAAGTTTACACGTTTGTACCAAATTTCATCAAAATCGGATCATTTTTGCCTGAGATATCATGCTTAACGGACATATAATATATATCATTACCCCATATATATATTAATTTGAACGGATGGTATTTTTGGCCTCTAGGGACCTCAACACGAAAAAGTAAATCGGTCCCCGGTCCAGGTCTTACCATGAGTTCTACGGTAATAGCTTATAATAGGGGAAATTCGCTAAAAGATGGTCCTAAAATATAACTATATACTAATTGAAAATTGTTTAAGTGCTCAATTTTATTAAATAGCGATGCATCAAAAGGTACTAGATATGGGCTTGCTTATCCTTTTTTGGGTTCCTTTGTTGTTTTTGAATTCTGGTATCTTTTTAATTTTAAATACAAATTTTCTACAGAAAATCTATAAAACCTTTTAAATTTATTTGCAACTAATACTGGCATCTACAAACAATTATATTTTTATATTAATAAAAAAAATAATGAGCGTTAAAGAAGTAAAAGGAAATACGAAATATTAAAATGCATAACATCTACATTTTTTCAAAGTTATTAAGATAAACCCATTAGTTCGATGAGTTAGTTTTGAAGCTGTACTTAGCAAAAGAGGTATACGCATTGGTTTAGCGGTGGCTTTAACATGGTATCTTACAAAATGTAACCTCGATACCTTCCTTCATATCAAATCAAAATAAGAAGGTTACAATACCTGCAGACTGCCTTTAGTGGTCCTTGAATATCCAACAGGATTACGCCTTTCGGTATTTGTTATACCATCATCAGATCCTATATACAAAACTTGAAGTTTTTCGACCCATGATGTCACGTCACAGTTTTAAAACACAGTTACCCTTAGTATGTTTTTCAATGATCGGTAAAAGTTGGACTGGTACTTACCGACACACGGGTTGAACCACAACACCCGCTGCCAGCCCATACAGTCGTAGAGCTGGGAGAAGTCTGTGCCCTTGCAAGCGCAGTTTGACCGCAATGCCGTGCCCAGGATCCCCAGCATAGCTTTGCGGCATTCTCCAGGCGATCCAGCACATTGCTTGGTGACACTATCCACCGCGCAAGACTGTTCATAGCTCTCAAGCCGCACCCTGCAACATTGTTCAAATGAGATGTAGGTGTGTAATGGATAGGTTTTGTCCTAGAACGCTGGGCACGAATCCGGGATTTTCACATTACTTCAGGCTAGATCTAGGGGTTGCGGCATTATCACTTAGATAAGATCGATTGGTGATTTGGCGGGACTTGAACCCGGGACCTCAGGGACCAAAGTCCCACGCTCTACCACCAGACCAGCTCAATACCCTATGGGCGATAGGTTAAATTTAAAGACTTTCAAGAAGTTCCTCGACCGTGCCGTCCCTCAGAGACGCTTCACAACAGTTTCTCCAACCCTACTCTACTAATTGCTTAGTCTCACAACCGCCAACCACCCAACTCACCACTTTACCAAACCAAAAACACAACCAATCACAACCCATCCACTCACATCACGAGTTGGAGATTGTACCAGCACCTCTCTATAAGTGTACGGTCCGGGATCTTACTCCCCAGAATCCTACCCCTCTTGAATTCAGCAGGGAAGGTAGTACTGGAACGTTAATCCCCCTATCAAAAAAACAATTTCTTTCTGCTCTTGTGCTTAAAACATATATTATTTTGTAAATGGTGTACCCGTTGATCTAAATAAACAAATAAAATCAATTTGTTCGACCCTGAGTCTTACCTTCCACTATCAAAGAAACCCTAGTTAGAGAAGAAGAACCCTAGTAAGCAAAGAAACCCAAAGTCTAGTAGTTTCCCTCATTTTCAAAACCACTTATATTTTGGTAACTGATGAAAACCTATCGCCAGAACTATGATGGTGAAAACCAAAAATACCCCATCGAAAAACTCGCAATCTGAAAGTTATAATGCATCCAAAAATATCATAATAATAATTTATATAAAATGTTGGTAACAAGGTAAGTAAAATCTATTAAATTATTATATCACTCAGCTAAAATCTTGATGTGTTTCTTAGAGTCGGCCAGTGTTGAAGTAAGCAAGCGTTTTCGGCCGTAAAACTTTTTGTATCGTGATACCTTTTGTTCGTATCGCAGTCTAATTTCCTATAATTCTGCGAGGGGCATACCGATTGCTGGCACGCACTGCGACAGTTCCAAATAATTTTTCTTACATACAAAGTTTTCTATTAAAAATACAAACATCCATTACATTATTAAACAAAAATACAAACATTAAAATTTTATTCCATCAAAACTATAATTATATTTTATAATAATTATATTATATTAAAATACAAACATTATTTCTTTGCGGAACCGCAACAATAAAACAATAGTATGAACTACAATTTCAAGCGGAGGTAAAATTAACAATTAAGCCCTAATATTAGTAAAAGTATTAAATACACGATGTTCAGATTTTTGAAAAATCTGAACAAATAAAATGATCAAAACTATTAAGCCGATCGTGGAGTAGAGTCTATACTTAACCGATCGGCTTGATTGATTTTGGCCATTTTTACGCTGTTCGACGACATTCGTGTATGTGTATGTGGACCAAATGTAATGTTAAAAATGTTTCAAGGTTTTTTTAAAATTGACGTGTTTGAAAGAATGAAATAAAGATTACGACGTTCGCCTGAAGATGATACCGTGAGGATCGAAACCGGCCGCCTTTAAGGTCACAAGGATAACTTGATAGCAGGTGGTACAAGGATTAAATTTAATTAGTCAATGCTAGGTATATTAAAATGTTTACCTACGACCACTTTTAAAAGAAGCCGGTTCAGTTCATTAGGATTGAAGAGATTTAATTAACATATTTGTTTACTTACTTAATAACACGGGTAACGGACCAATGAGGTTCAAGGATTGAGAGAGAAGTAAAATTGTATGCTTCAAATGTCAACTAATCGATTGTATAGACAAATTTAATTGTTAATAAATGGTGCAATTAGTGTTTGGTACAATGATTCGTTGCATCACTGTCAGTGGCAATGAGAGGTTATAAACGAAAACATAACCTCTCTTAGAAGTTATGAGTAATGGTTGTTAGTAATAAAAATAAATAAAAATAAAAAAAACTGTCGTATGTAAAGTAGTATACGAAACTCGCGTAAATAGTCTTTACGCGATCGTTGCTGTGATGATCAGCTGCGAGAGATGTTCCGATGAAAAAGAAACAATAGAGATTTTTATATAATAAACCGATTAAACAATAGAAAAATATGTTGTATGCAACAGTTATCTTGCTATTATAAATATTTCATGTTGTGATTATAAGAGAATAGAGTTTCATTTATGAATATATTGTTTGCCATATTAGATATGGGTGGAGAGTTTTTAAATTAGCAAAAACAGCCGCTGTTAATGCATGCGTTGCGGGTCTAAAGTAGCATTTAGGGGAGTAAAAATTAGCTGTTGTAAACAGTTGTAAATCTCGATCGTATCGATCGAAATTATTTATCGATTGAATATTTAGGTAAGGTTTTAGCCTATTGTTGACGATTGTTCGACATATAGATGGTATAATGTAATGTAACACAATCGTAATAGACGAAATGATTGGATCACTTACTAAACAGCTGATTATTTGATTAGTAGAATTAAAACAAGCTGGAAATCGTTTTGAGAAGTTATCTTTACATAACAATTATTTCGTTTTCTAGCTTTGTTTGTTAATTAATCATGCAATATGACGAAAAATATTGTTTACCACACGGGCAAAAAGAGTCACTTTAGGCCCTAGTGATGAAATATAGTATTGTTGTGCTTTAAGATCCTTACTGCGGTAGGAATAATTTTAAATTATTCATATGAGTGTTTTATTACATTTCAATCACAAAAGAAAACATTGCAATAAAAACCGGAAAGATTTTTGTTTGTAAAAATAGTAATGTGATTTTAATAATCAAGTAAATTTTAAATAATCATTAAAACTCTGTTAAATTAAGTTTGAAGGTACGTTTTGAATTTTAATGAAATAAGTGTTATTATTAGTGGAGATATTACGGTAGAAAAACTTAGAACAAAAGCCTGCGATATTATAAATTAAAAAAAAACTTCTACTGTATATATTACGCGTTATTCCCACGTATATGTCTAATTACGCGTTACTACGCGTAATAATAAGTATAAAATAAATAATAAAAATAACATATGAGCAATAAACATATTACATAAACAATAAAAAAGCATACCATAAATTATCTTAAACGCATATTTTAGGGTGTCGTGCCAGATGCGACCGTGCCGCTAGCGACCCTGAATTTTCAACTGTGCCAAAAGCGACTCAAAAGTTTCGACTGGGAAGATGCGACCGTGCCGCTAGCGACCCTGCAATTTTCAACTGTGCCAATAGCGACTTAAAAGTTTAGACTAGGAGGTCAGAGGTGTAAATTTCACCCCTGATGAAAGTTGGCCTGCTTCTTTAAAAAGCTAGATACCCTATGTCAAGAAAATATATTTATCATAAGAAATATTCTTCAAAATAACGAGGAAAAATGGAACATAAAGGAGAAAGGTATGTTAGAAAGCCCGACTAAAGAATAAAGTACAAGTGGCATGTACCATTACATAAGTCTCTAAAAAGCTCAAAATGTAAAACAACTTATAATATTTAATAATTTTCTAGTCTTTGCAATGAATATATTATTCAATTTGGTTTACAAAAATCATCTTGAAATATAATCCTCTAATAATGGGTCGCTTGTGGCACTGAAAGCTACTAGCAGGGTCGCTACTGGCACGATTTTTGCTGGGTCGCACCCGGCACGTAATCATATTTTAGTGAGTCTAAGTTTTAGAGAAAGAGTTGTCCTTGAATTATACATAAATATTTTATACATAATTCCTGATAACACCTTCTCGTTCAATGTTTGTTGCGGTTTTCATTTAATCACATAAGTATTATTCTCAGCCTAAAGCGTTTAAAATTGCAATATTTGAACTAATAAAAATGTAATGTAATATTTTGACATGGACGTATCAATTAAAATGACAAACATAGTGGAAAATACTGCATTCACAATTCAAAGATCAAACGTATACGTATAAAACATGTATGTTTAGAAAATATAACACACCATTAACGCAACGTTTGGAAGCCTTTGATGATACGGTTATTGTGTTTTAGTCGTTAACATGAATAATTTCCTGACAATCTCCTTCTCTCTATTAAAAATAACAATGCTGTTGTAATTTAATTTTTCCACCTTGCCTAAGGAATATTCCAATTAACGTCATTTACAAGGTATAACGGAATAAATTAATTCATAATCAATATTCTTGTGTGATTAGTTCGTGTAATTACAAAGTCAAAACTTAAATATTCAGTTCAAAACATCATTTCGATGTTTACGGATTTGCCTCTTATTTCACATTTATTTGAACGTTCTGTAAACTGTGGAGGTAATAATTAGTAAATAGAAAATGTGCATCACAGAATCCACTAATTAGAATATTGTTGGTAAATAATTTATGTGTACCTTCAAAACTTGTACATGTAAAACTTAATGAGCATACATTACAATATTACATGGTTTCTGGAATAAATACAAATGACAAACTGTAATGCCTGATAAGAGTGTGTACTCTAATTTAATTGAATTGAATTGTTTTATAATTGTATTTGTTTTAGTTTCATTTGTTTTAGCGAATTTCTCTATATGTAGCTATTGTTAAGCCATTTAAGTCGGTTATGTAATAATAATGGTGTTATACTGGTATTAAACTCCTAAAAGGGGTTAAATATACTGTATATCTGACAGAAAAATATAAAAACCATATCCATCTAATCGTACAAGAGTAACTGTAAATCTGTAATGGTGTATATTTAATAAATGACTGAATAAAACCAGTACAACTAAATGTGGTCAATTGTAAAATACTGTAGCAACTGCAGATTAGAAGTAAATCTAAATGTTTTAAAATATGACATTTCAGCCTAACTGTTATATGTACATAAGGAGATAGCAGTAAGCTAGAAAGCCAGTTTATTTCCCTTCTTCATTAGGTATACATTTAACTTACAATAACAAACATTTCTATGCATACGAGCATTTATGTTGAAAATTTCCACAATA